GAGTTATCCAACTCATACCTACAGAGTAGAACTGCCCCATAGGGTTTCCAAGGCTGCGGCATCAGGGCTCCTGGTGGATTTGAACTGCTGACATTTTGGTTAGCAGCCGTAGCTCGCCATAGCTCTTAACCACTGGGCCACCAGGGCTCCTATATATATGTGTGTGTGTATATACATACACATATACACATATATATATATATACGTATACATATATGCATATATATATATGCATATATGTGTACACAGTATGTCTATATATGCACACACGTACATATATACATCACTCCTTATTTTTTTTTTAATTAACATTTGCGTGGTATATCTTTCCAGTTCTTTTACTTCCAACCTATTTGTTGATTTTGAAGTGAATCGAGTTTCCTATAATTGGGCTGTGTGTTTTTAAATGTATTCTTCCAGTCTTTGCCTTTTAATGGGAGTGGTTAGACCATTTACGTTAAAGGTGATTATGGGTGTGTTCAGATTTAAGTCTGTTTATGTTCTGTTCTGGTTCTTCTCTCTTTCTTGCCTTCCTGTGGGTTACTCGGTTATTTTTTAGGGTTCCGTATTGACATATAGTTTTCCAGTGTATTGCGTTGTAGTTTTCTTAGTGGTTTCTCAATATGACAATATACATTTGTGATGGGCGCAGTGGTTAAGCGCTCGGCTACTAACCAAAAGGTTGGCAGTTTGAATCCACCAACTGCTCCTTGGAAACCCTATGGGGCAGTTCTGCTCTGTCCTGTAGGGTCACTGTGGGTTGCAATCAACTCGATGGCAACGGGTTTGGTTTGGTATCAGAGTGCCTCCGCTCTGAGTGATGTGTGGCAACTTCTTCCTTTTAGGTTCTTTTACTTTCCCCGCTTACTGTCTTGGGTATCGGTTTCAATCATTACTTTCAATCCTCACACGTGGTTTAGAAAAACTCAGGAAGAGGGTGGTCTGTCATATGTACCGTATTTCTGCTCTTTCTGTTGGTTTTTCTTCCTTTTATAATTTTCTGGTTGAAGGATTTCCTGCAGTTATTTCCCAAGGCTAGGTTTACTATCAACAATCCTTTTAGTTTTCCTTTGCCTGGGAATGTCTTTTTCCCTTTCCTTTCTGAAGGATCGTTTTGCTGGATATAGAATTGTTTCTTTACTTAATTTTTTATTAATACATTTTAGTTTTATATAATTTAAAATATTACAAAAAGGTATGTCATTGTTGTGAGCTGCTGTTGAGTTACCTCTGACTTATGGAGACCCCCATGCACAATGGGATTGGACCATTGTGCTCCATAGGGTTTCCACTGGCTGATTTTTGGAAGTCAGTCTCCAGGCCTTTCTTCCTAGTCCATCTTAGTCTGGAAGCTTTGCTGAAACCTGTTCAGCATCCTAGCAACATGCAAACCTCCACTGACAGGTGGGTGGCGGCTGTGCATGATGTGCATTGGCTGGGAATTGAACCCGGATCTCCTGCATGGAAGGCAGGAATTCTACCGCTGGACCACACTGCCCCCACTAAAAAGTATATATATGTGTATCTAGGTTCGCTATCAAGTATTATAATCAACTGACCCTTGTGTGCCCACCACTGACTTTAAGAACCAAAACTAAGGTTCCATAGCACGATTCGCATGCTGTGTGTATTGTTTCTTTCTACAGAACCTCTTCTCGGATATAATTAGAACCCCCCCCCAAAAAAAAAAAAAAACAACATCGAACTCGTTGCCATGGAGTTGACCCTGACTAATAGCAACACCATGTGTTACAGAGTAAACCTACCACGTAAGGTTTTCTTGGCCATAATCTTTAGGGAAGAAGATTGCCAGGCCTTTCTTTCGTGGCTTGGCTGGGTGGCTTTGAACCTCCAACCTTTCGGTTAGTAGTCGAGTGCACGCCACCCAGGGACCTTATAATTAGAACCAGTGCTGTCAGAGTGTTTGGGGAGTGCTAGGTGGCGGGATCCTCTGCTTGTCCAGCGGCACCGGGCAGCCGGCATCTTCTAACGGCTCATCTCACGCAGGGACGATTCCATCAACGACTGCCGTATCATCTTCGTGGATGAAGTCTTCAAGATCGAGCGCCCGGGCGAAGGGAGCCCCGTGGTGGAAAACCCCATACGACGTGAGTCCTGGCCCTGGGGGGTGTGGGTGGTGGTTGGGTGGGGGTCCTGCCTCGCGGGCCCCTGGCTGACCCGGCCCTGCCCGCTGGTGTGCACAGGGAAGAGCGGGCCCTCGTGCAAGCACTGTAAAGACGATGAGAGCAAGCCGTGCCGCGTGTGCGCCTGTCACCTGTGTGGGGGCAAGCAGGACCCTGGCAAGCAGATCATGTGTGACGAGTGTGACATGGCCTTCCACATCTACTGTCTGTGCCCGCCGCTCAGCAGCATCCCCGACGAGGACGAGTGGTGAGCGCAGTGGGCCTGCGGCTGGGAGGAGGGCGGCCAGCGGGGCCAGATTGTTCTCCGGGGCGGGGCTGTCCTGTGCACTGCAGGGTGTTGAGCAGCATCCCTGGCCTCCACTCACTCCACGCCGGTAGCACCTGCCCCAGTCATGACAACCACAAATGTCCCCAGAGGCACCCAGTGTCCCCTGGGGGCAATTTCACCTGGGTGAAGACCCCTGGGCTAGGGATGCCGCTAACCTCTCCAAGAGACTGCATCCCATAATTATCTGACCTACCGTGCACACATTTAAATCCACACACTGAGTGAGGAGGAGAGAGAAGGGAGTCACAGGAGCTGGAGGGTCGCTGACTTAGTTCTCTAGTGCTGCTATAACACGTGGATGGCTTTAACAAACAGAAATTTACTCTCTCACAGCTTATGAGGCTAGAAATCCCAAACCAGGGTGCCGGCTCCACGGGAAGGCTTTCTCTGTCAGCTGTAGGGGAAATCCTTGTCATCTATCTCCCCCTGGTCTACGAGCTTCTCAGTGCAGGGACCCTGGGTCCGAAGGACATGCTCCACTCCTGGCTCTTCTTGCTTGGTGGTTGTTGTTGTTAGGGTGCCGTCGAGTCACTTCTGACCCATAGCGACCCCGTGTACAACAGAACGAAACACTGCCTGGTCCTGCGCCATCCTCACAATCGTTGCTGTGCTTGAGCCCATTGCTGCAGCCACTGTGTCAATCCATCTCGTTGAGGGTCTTCCTCTTTTTCGCTGACCCTCTACTTTACCAAGCATGATGTCCTTCTCCAGGGACTTTGACTGGTCCCTCCTGATAACACGTCCAAAGTATATGAGAAATAGTCTTGCCATCCTTGTTTCTAAAGAGCATTCTGGCTGTACTTCTTCCGAGACAGCTGTGTTCGTTTTTAAGGCAGTCCGTGGGACACTCCGTATTCTTCACCAGCACCGTAATTCAAAGGTGTCATTCTTCAGTCTTCCTGATTCATCGGCCAGCTTTCACCCGCATATGAGGTGGTTAAAAACACCACGGCTTGGGTCAGGCGCACCTTAGTCTTCAAGGTGACATCTTTGCTTTTCAACACTTTAAAGAGGTCTTTTGCAGCAGATATGCCCAATGGAATGTGTCTTTTTATTTCTTGACTGCTGCTTCCATGGGCATTGATTGTGGTTCCAAGTAAAGTGAAATCCTTGCCCACTTCGATATTTTCTCCATTTATCATGATGTTGCTTGTTGGTCCAGCTGGGAGCATTTTTGTTTTCTTTATGTTGAGGTGTAATCCATGCTGAAGGCTGTAGTCTTTGATCTTCGTCAGTAAGTGCCTCAAGTCCTCTTCACTTTCAGCAAGCAAGGTTGTGTCATCTGCATACTGCAGGTTGTTAATGAGTCTTGCTCCAATCCTGATGCCCCATTCTTCGTATAGTCCAGCTTCTTGGATTATTTGCTCAGCATACAGATTGAATAGGTAGGAAGTCCCTATCTCTCTCCTAGCTTCTCTCTTCTTTTATCTCTTATAAAAGGTGATGCAGGCCATACCCCAGGGAAACTCTCCTTACATCAGATCCTGGATATGACTTGAGTAAGGGTGTTGCATCCCACCCTAATCTTCTTTAACATAATCTAATCTTGCCTCATTAACCTCAGGCGGAGATTAGGATTTACAACAGATAGGATAATCACATCAGATCACAAAACGGAGGACAACCACACAATACTGGGAATCCTGGCCTAGCTAAGTTGACACACATTTTTGGGGGACAAGTTCAATCCATGACAGTTGCCCTGGTTTACACCATCTCACCCAGCGGGAGTTTGTCCTGATACATAGCGTGAGCTAGGGATAGGGCTCAACTCTTTTCTAAACACTTAATGCAGGGTCTCTCCTCCCCCAGGCACTGCTGACATTGGGGCCGGATCCTTCTCTGGGGTAGGGGCGTCCTGTGCCCTGTAGGGTGTTGAGCAGCATCCCTGGCCTCTACCGACTCAGTGCTATAGCACTGCCCAGTCGTGACAACCACAAATGTCCCCAGACATGACCAAGTGTTCCCTGGGGGCAGAAGCCCCTCGGGTGAGACCCACCAAGCTTCTCGCCATGTAGTAGACCCGGGAGGGGCAGTGACGAAAGACCAAGCGGGAGAACCTTCCGGGTTCCGTGGGGTAGGGAGCTTGGTCACGCCAGGAGGAAACAGCGACCCTGCAGGTCGGCTGCTGAGAGCTGGGTCCTCACCTTCTCTAAAAGGCAGGGCTTTTAGCCAGTACATCTGGGAGCTCGTAATGACAGCTGCTGATGTGCCCAAAAGGTTACGGAGAGACAGGGCTCTAGACGAAGGACCCTATGCGGGTTCACGGGTTTGTTCCTCACCCCAACTCTGAGGGGGTGCTGTTGTTGCCCCCTCCCTGCGGAGGTGGGGGAACCCAGTCCGCACAATGAGAAGGCACGCCTCGAATTCTCCCTGCCTTTCCTTCCCCACGTTGCAGTTAGACTTACTGTCACTGTTAGAGTGAACTGTGAATTCAAAGGAGAGGGCCAGATTCTGTTCTCCAGTAGAGTGTTTCACCGTGATGGAATGTTCTAGAACTGTGCTGTCTGATAACACTTGCCACTGTCCACACATGGCTGAGTCCTTCAAATGTGGCTGGTGCCACTGAGGGACTGCATTTTTTGTTTTATTTAATTTTAATAAACTTAAACGTGACTAGCCACATGTGGCAAGCAGCCCTGTTTAGGGCCGCATAGAACTATGGAGGCTGCTGCAGCATTGGGCATGAATCAGAGTGGGGAGGCGGAGGGCAGGGGCTTCCAGGGCTCTGTGCAGGCAGTGACCCCCATGTCCTTCCAGGTATTGCCCCGAGTGTCGGAATGACGCCAGCGAGGTGGTGTTGGCGGGAGAGAAGCTGAAAGAGAGCAAGAAGAAAGCAAAGATGGCGTCAGCCACCTCGTCCTCACAGCGGGACTGGGGCAAGGTGAGGAGGAGCCTGCACGCCTGTGGCCCCCCCAGTTTGCCTTCCCCTTCCACGAGCGCTTACGCTGCTGTCTGTCTGTTTCCGGAATGACAGGGCATGGCATGCGTGGGCCGTACAAAGGAGTGCACCATTGTCCCGTCCAACCACTACGGACCCATCCCGGGCATCCCTGTGGGCACCATGTGGCGGTTCCGAGTCCAGGTACCAGCGTGGGTGGGGCTGCCGTTGAAGTTGGCTCCTTCCAGGGTGCAGCTCGGGCCTGGGCCACCTTGGGGGAGGCTTTTCTAACAGGCGTGACGCGTGACTGGGATGCATCACGTTTGCTGTGAAGTCAGACTGCAGGCTCTGAAAGTAGGGAAGGGGAGGGTGGAGCTGAGCGTGTCCACACAAGTCGTTCCGGAAGGCGCCATTTGTCCCCTGTGGTTCCGCAGGTCAGCGAGTCGGGTGTCCATCGGCCCCACGTGGCGGGCATCCACGGCCGGAGCAATGACGGGGCCTACTCCTTGGTCCTGGCGGGGGGTTACGAGGATGACGTGGTGAGTGTGTGCATGGGGGTGGTGCCGCATGGGGCACAGGGACCCGTGTGTATTCAGTGTACATGGACAGGTGGGGTGCGGAGCGTTCACCTTGCCCTTCTCTGTTTCAGGACCACGGGAATTTTTTCACGTACACAGGGAGCGGTGGTCGAGATCTTTCCGGCAACAAGCGGACTGCGGAACAGTCTTGTGATCAGAAACTCACCAACACCAACAGGTTCGTTTGCTGTCAGGCTTCTGCCATGCGTCTGGCAGCTGCATGAGTGGGGGTTTTATAGGAGTGCCACCTCTGGGAAGTTAGGTCCCCATAACGAGTGCAGTGGGCTCTAGAGAGGGGAATGTTCTCGTCTTCCCTTCTCCATTCACCAAAGACATGTGAGTCATTCACATGGACTCCAGCACACTTTTTCTGTAAAAGGCCACATAGCAAAGGTTTTTGGCTTTGCAGGCCATGCGGTCTCTGGTATGACAACTCAACTCAGCCATCATAGCACAGTAACAGCTATAGGCCATACATAAACAAATACCTGTGGCTGTGTGCCAGTAAAACTTTATGTGCAAAAACAGGCAGGGGCCGGGAGGTTGCTAACTCCCAACTGCAGGATGGGGAAGGACTTCTTAACCGTAAAAAGTACCCTAAGGCACATAGCGAAAGACGGAGAGATTTGTCAATCTAAATATTTTAAATTGCATCAATAAATCCCATAAATGAAATTAAAAGGTAGGTGACTATTTGGGGGAAGGGTTTGCAGCAAACACGATACACAGTGCTCTTAGTATATGAAGAGCTGTTGCAAATCAATAAAAGAAACTCTTACTGGAAAAACAGCAGTCAAAAAAACTAAACCAACCGGATGCCATTGAGTCAGTTACGATCCACAGGGACCCCATGAGACAGAGTATAATCACCCCATACGGTTTTCTTGGCTGTAATCTTTATGGAAAAGGAGCCCTGGTGGCTCAGTGTTTAAGTACTCAGCTGCTAAATGAAAAGTCGGTGGTTTGAACCCACCAGCTGCTTCATAGGAGAAAAGACCTGGAAATCTGCTCCTGTAAAGATTATAGCCTTGGAAACCCTATGGGTGACTATGAGTCAGAATCCACTGGACAGCAGCGGGTTTGGTTTTGGTTAATGTTTATCTTAAGGAGCCCTGGTGGTGCAACGGTTAAGTGCTTGGCTGCTAACCAAAAGGTTGGGGGTTCAAACTCACCCAGGGATGCCACAGGATAAAGGCCTGGTGATCTTATCCCATAAAGATGACAGCCTAGAAAACCCTATGGGGGCAGTTCTACTCTGTCACATGGGGTTGCTGTGAATTGAAAATCACTCTCGTGGCACATAACAACGTTTGCGTACCATTATCTAAAGCAGCAAAATATTGGTAACTAAACACCTGTTTATACGTACAGAACAGCCCCGGAAATGGCATCATTGTGGCAGCTGGAGTCTGAGCTCTGGTCTGAGCGGCTCTAAGCCCGGAGGCCAGGCTGTCTTCCCCGGGGCGGCCTCCAGGGGGCACAGCTGTTGGCGCTGTGTCCCTGTGTCTCTTCGTTTTTCTTGGCACCTTCCTCACGTAGCGTACGAGTGTCCCGAGGCTGCTGTAACAAGGCATCACAGACAGCGTGGCTTCAAATGACAGAAATAATGTTGGCTCACAGCCCTGGAGGCCAGAAGGGTGAAATCAAGGTGTGGGCAGGGCCAGGCTCTCTCTAAAGGCTCTCGGGGAGGATCCGTCCTTGTCTCTTCCAGCTTCTGGAGGCTCCTGGTGGTTTCGGCATTTCTTGTTTTGTAGAGGCATCTCTGCAATCCCTGTGTCTGTAGTCACACGTCCGTCTTCCCTGTGTCTGTGTCTCCTCTTGTGAGGACACCAGTCGTTGGATTTAGCCCCCCGCACCACCAGCACTTCAGTGTGACCTCAGCTTAACTAATTATATCTGCAAAGACCCCATTTCCAAACAAGGTCACGTTCACAGGTACGGAGGTCAGGACATCGCCATCTTGTTGTTAGGTGTGGCTGAGTTAATTCCCACTCCTAGCGACCCCATGTGACAAAGCAGAGCTGCCCCCTAGGGTTTTCTAGGCTGTAATCTTTACAGAAGCAGATCACCAGGTCTTTCTCTTCGTGGAGCTGCCAGGTGGGTTCAAACCGCCGACCTTTTGGTTAGCAGCCAAGCACTTAACAATTGTACCACCAGGGCTCCTTGGACATCTTACTGGGGCACGCATTCACCCCTTCCTGTGGGCCCCCCTCTCCCTGCAGGGCGCTGGCTCTGAACTGCAGTGCGCCCATCAATGACCGGGACGGGGCCGAGGCCAAGGACTGGAGGGCGGGGAAGCCGGTCCGTGTGGTGCGCAATGTCAAGGGCGGCAAGCACAGCAAGTACGCGCCTGCCGAGGGCAACCGCTATGACGGCATCTACAAGGTGAGCCTGCATCCCCTGGCCCCCCGCCGCGCCCCCTGGCCTTGGACGTCAGTGATGTCCTTGTGCCCCACAGGTCGTGCGGTACTGGCCGGAGAAGGGGAAGTCCGGCTTCCTCGTGTGGCGCTATCTGCTCCGGAGGGACGACGAGGAACCAGGGCCCTGGACGAAGGAAGGGAAAGACCGCATCAAGAGGCTGGGGCTGACCATGCAGGTGCGTCCCACAGGCCCGGGGACCGTTTCACACTCGACCCCTGGCTTCAGGCCTCATCTTCCTCATGGGCCCATGAGGCCATAACGGGCCAGCTCACGGGGATGACAGCACCCAGCACTTGGTAAACACTCCGCAAATACAGCCCTTCTCTGGCATGAAGCTTCGCCTGGCTCCCAGCTGGCCACACCTTGCATGCTGTGTTACGTAAATGCTTTACCCAGGCCGTCTTTGCTTCACAGCCGTGCCTGGAATAGTTGGGTTGGTAGAAGAGTTGAGGGGCAGCAGTGGTTCAGTGGCAGCACTTTTGCCTTTCATGCAGGAAACGTGAGTTCTATTTCTGGCCAATGCGCAGCCACCACCCCTCTGTCAATGAAGCCTTGTGTGCTGCTAGGATGCTGAACAGAGCTTTTAGACTAAGACAGACTAGGAAGAAAGGTCTGGTGATCTATTTCCAAAAATCAGCCAGTGAAACCCCTATGGATCGCAAGGGCCCGGTCTACAGCCAGTCGTGGGGATGGTGCAGGACTGGGCAGCGTCTGGTGCCATGGTGCACGGGGTCACCGCGAGTCAGGACTGACTCAGTGGCAGCTAACAGCAATGTCAATGACGACAGAAGAGTTTACCCAATCAGCTGGGATTCTGGTCTCTTCTCTGCACCTGCTCATCTCTTCCTCCTCTGCTCCCCACCCCCGACCCTCCAAAAAAGCAGACACCAATCAACAAAGCCCGTAGAAGGCAGAAAGATGCAGATGCGAAGGTGCCGAGGAATAATCCACAAGCCACCCCTCAACTCTCCAGCCCCGGAAGCTGCCGAGAGCCTCTCTAGTGAGGAGCACAGCTTTTCTGCACTATAATTAGGGGGTTTTCTGTTCGTTACAGTGACTTCCTTTACCGCAAACAACACCAGCGCAGGGCTATTTAAGGGCTGACTCGAAATTACTGCTGAGAGTCTGCTAGCGCCTCCTTCTCTTGGGATCACACAGGGCTGTCTTTTGAACATAATGTTAGTACAGCAGGGAATTCCAGAAGCTGAGAAATTGGGAAGGAAAGTCACGATGGGAGGGGAAAGCCAGCTTCTGGTGGGAACAGGGATTTATTTATGACTGGAGTCTTCATTGCAACTTCATGTTGCCACGGAAGGTGGAATGTTTCTCAATGAAACACGAGAGTCGAGCATCATCACAGGCACCGTGGGGATGGGGTGATGATCAAATACTGCCTGTTAGGGCATCACCAAAAAGCAAAACAAACCCGCTTGCCGTTGTGTCGACTGACTCATGGCGGCCCCATGTGTGTCAGAGTAGAACTGTGCTCCATAGGGTTTTCAGTGGCGGAGTTTTCGGAAGTATATTGCTAGGCCTTTCTTCTGTGGTGTCGCTGGGTGGATTTGAACCACCAGCCCTTCGGTTAGTTTTTGTTGTTGGGTGCTATGGAGTTGACGCCAACTCCTGGTGACCCAGTGTGGCGGAGGAGAACTGCCCCATGGGTTTCCTCGGCTGTCGTCTTTACGGGGTCACTGGGTAGATCTGAACTGCCAACCTTTGGGTTAGCAGCCGAGGTGTACCCACTACGCCTCGGTCCATCGTGGTTATTAGCACGTGTGTTGCCCGAGGCCCTGAGGTTCACTCGGTGGCGGCCTCTTCCTGGCTGAGCGCTGAGTCTGCGATATGCTCTCGGGGATCAGGTGGGGAGAGAGTCTAAGCGTCTGGGACACAGGCTGCGGGGTGAGAATGGGAGAAGTGAGGACGGAGGGGAGGGGGGCAGGAAGGCCAGGACCGGGGTGATGGGTGGTGGGGGTAGGGACAGTCAGGGGTCCCTGCCGGCCGCCTCAAGGGTCTGGGTCCATTCCAGCCCCTCAGGCCGATTTCTCCCCCCGCAGTATCCGGAAGGCTATCTGGAAGCCCTGGCCAACAAAGAGAAGGAGAAGGAGAACAGCAAGATGGTGGCGGAGGCGGAGGAGGAGGAGGAGGAAGAGGAGGGCCTGAGGTCCCCCAAGAAGGGCAAGGGCAAGCGGAAGCGGAAGTCTGCAGGTGGGTCTCTGCGCAGGGAGGGGGCGGCTGTGTCCACCCGGACTCGGCTGGCCCACGCTCACTGCTCCGCCCTGTCCCAGGAGGCAGCGAGCCCAGCCCCAGGCCCCTGCGCGGGGTTCCCAAGAAGACCAAAGTGGAGCCCTACAGCCTCACGGCCCAGCAGAACAGCCTCATCAAGGAGGACAAAGGCAACGCCAAGCTGTGGGCCGAGATCCTCAAGTCGCTCAAGGATGGGCCGGTGAGCGGGGACAGGCGGGACGTCGGGGTGAGCCTTCTGCCGTCAGTGCAGTGAGTGACGTGGCTGGGCCACCGTCCCTGAGTGACCCATCATCCTCCAGTAGCTGTCCCCACCTGTCCCCACCTGGTGAAACTGGCTTCTGAGGGGCACTCTCTGCTCAAACCCTCCCTGTGGCCTACCAGCCCTGGGTCCCTACCCCCACCCCTCTGACACCCCCTCCTCCAGCATTTGCTCCTCGACGTCCCTCTGCCTGGAGCACCTTCCCCTCAAGCCCTGAACAAACCACCTCCAGCGTAGTGGCTGAAAACACACTTGCTCTCACACAGACGGGAGGTCAGAAGTCCAAAACGAGTCCTGTTGTAGGTGCTGTCGAGTCGATCGACTCATCGCAACCCCACGTGACAGAGCAGAACTGCCCCATAGGGTTCCTAGGCTGTCATCTTTACAGGAGCAGATCGCCAGGGCTTTCTCCTGCAGAGCTGCTGGGTGGGTTTGAACCACCAGCCTTTTGGTTAGCAGCCGAGCACTTAACCATTGCACCACCAGGGCTCATTAAATGGGCCTTCCAAAACCAAACCAAACCTGTTACCATCGAGTCAATTCTGACTCATAGCGACCCTATAAGAGTGGAACTGCCCCATGGGGTTTCCAGGGAGCGGCTGGTGGATTTGAACTGCTGACCTTTTGGCTAGCAGCCGAGCTCTTAACTACTGTGCCACCAGGGCTCCGCATGGGCCTTAAGGAGCTAAAATCAAGGAGTTGATGGGGTTGTGTTCCTTCTAGAGGCTCCAGGGGAGAATTAGTTCCTTGCTTTTTTCAGCTTCTAGAAGCCACCTACATCCCATGGCTCATGGCTGTATCACTGTAGTGTCTGCTTTCGTTGTCACATCTGGGCACTTCCTGCATGGCACAGTTAATGTGCTCAACTATGAACCTAAAGGTTGGCAGTCTGAACCCACCCAGAGGCTCCTTGGAAGAAAGGTCTGGTGATCTACTTCTGAAAAATCAGCTATTAAACACCTGACGGAGCACAGTTCTCTGTTGTCACATCTCTTTCTTCCTCCCTATCACTGTCCTCTTATAAAGATCCTTGTGGTTACATTGGGCTCACCCATATAATCCAGGATAATCTTAGTTATCTTATTGTTGTTGTCAGTTCTGGCTCATAGCGGCCCTGTGTACAACAGAACGAAATACTGCCCGGCCCTGAGCCATCATCAGAATCGTTGCTGTTTGAGCCCATTTTTGCAGCCACTGTGTCAGTCCATCTCATTGAGGGTCTTTCTCTTTTTTGCTGACCCTCTTTTACCAAGCATGATGTCCTTCTCCAGAGACTGGTCCCTCCTGATAACGTGTCCAAAGTACCTGAGACGAAGTCTTGCTATCCTCGCTTCTAAGAAACATTCTGGGTGTACTTATTCTAAGACAGATTTGTTCCTTCTTTTGGCAGTTCATAGTATATTCAATATTCTTCGTCAGTACCATAATTCAAAGGCATCAATTCTTCTTTGGTCTTCCTTATTCACTGTCCAGCTTTTGCATGCATATAAGGCTTGAGTCAGGCACACCTTAGTCCTCAAAGTGACATCCTTGCTTTTCAACACCTTAAAAAGGTGTTTTGCCCAGTGCAATATGTTGTTTGATTTCTTGACTGCTGCTTCCGTGGGCGTTGATTGTGGATCCAGGTAAAATGAAATCTTTGACAACTTCAATCTTTTCTCTCCTTATCATGATGTTGCTTATGGGTCCAGTTGTGAGGATTTTTGTTTTTCTCTGTGTTGAGGTGTAATCCATACTGAAGGCTGTAGTCTTTGATCTCCATCAGTAAGTGCTTCAAGCCCTCTTCACTTACAGCAGGCAAGGTTGTGTCATCTGTATAACGCCGGTTGTTAATGAGTCTTCCTCCGATCCTAATGCCCCTTTCTTCATATAGTCCAGCTTCTCGGATTATTTGCTCAGCATACAGATTGAATAAGTATGGTGAAAGGATACAACCCTGACACACACCTTCCCTGACTTTAAGCCATGCAGTATCCCCTTGTTCTGTTCGAATGACTGCCTCTTGGTCTATGTACTGGTTCCTCACGAGCACAATTAAGTGTTCTGAAATTCCCATTCTTTGCAATGTCATCCATACTTTGTTATGATCCACACAGTCGAATGCCTTTGCGTAGTCAATAAAACACAGGTAAACATCTTTCTGGTATTCTCTGCTTTCAGCCAAGATCCATCTGACATCAGCAGTGATATCCACGTCCCCTTCTGAATCCAGCTTGAGCCTCTGCAGTTCCCTGTCGATGTAGTGCTGCAATCACTTTTGAATGATCTTCAGCAAAACTTTCCTTATGTGTGTTACTAATGATATTGTTTGATAATTTCTGAATCCTGTTGGATCACCTTTCTTGGAACAGGCACAAATATGGATCTCTTCCAGTTGGTTGGCCAGGAAGTTGTCTTCCAAATTTCTTGACATGGATGAGTGAGTACCTCCACCGCTGCATCCATTTGTTGGAGCATCTCAACTGGTATTCCGTCAATTCCCGGAGCCTTGTTTTTCCCCAGTGCCTTCAGTGCAGCTTGGACCTCTTTGTAATTTTCCTTCCTTGTAATGTCCTTGTTTGGTTTTGGTATTGGGGTAATGCCGACCTAACAGAGTAAGTCAGGAAGTGTTCTCTTTGCTTCTATTTTCTGGAACAGACTGTAGGGGATTGGTGTTATTTCTTTAATGTTTGGTAGAAGTCACTGGTAAAACCATCTGGGCCTGGTGCTTTCTGTTTTGGAAAGTTATTAATTATTGATTCAATTTTAAAATAGCTATAGGCCTATTTAGACGATCTACTTCTCTTTGTGTAAATTTTGGTGGATTGTATCTTTCAAGGAATTGGTTCATTTCATCTAAGTTATCAAATTTGTAGACCTAGAGCTGTTCATAATATTCCTTTATCATCCTTTTGATGTCCACGAGATCAGTAGCGCTGGCTCTACTTTCGTTTCGGATATTAGTAATTTGTGTCTTCTTTTTACCTTCGTTAGTTTCATCAATTTTATGCACGTTTTTTAAAAAAACAGCTTTTGGTTTCTCTATTACTGTTTTCATTTCACTGATTTTTGCTCTCATTTTTATGATTTCTGCTTATTTCAATTTAATTTGCTCTTCTTTTTTGAGTTTTATAAGGTGGAAGCTTAGATTATTGATTTTAGATCTTCTTTTCTCCTATATGCATTCATTGCTATAAATTCTCTAAGTACTGCTTTGGCTGCACCCTGCAAATTTTTTTCTTTTTTTTTTAAATTGTGCTTTAGGTGAATGTTTACAGAGCAAATTAGTTCCTCATTCAAAAATTGTCACAACATTATTTCATGGCATTGGCTGCAATCGCACATTGTGTCAGCACTCTCCCCCTTGCCCTTTCCACACCTTGTATCCTGCAAATTTTGATTAGTTGTATTTTTGTCTTTTATTTGGTTATCTTCTGCTTCCCCTACGTAGCTCCAAGCTCCCAGAGGGCAGGAGTTTCTTCTGTTCTGTTCACTGTGGGAGCAGAGCCCAGTGCCCCAATGGCACCCAGTAGGTGCTTAGCACGTATTTATTTAACAAATTAAAATGCCCTTCTTAAGAGTTGCCCTCTTAAAGTCCTTTCTTGCCTCTGAAGCCTGAAGTTTGCCTGCCGCTGGCAGCTATGTCAAGCCAGGTCCTGCTCAGCACTGTCACCCCCCTCAGGCCTGTTCTTCCTGGGGACTTGCCCACCCTCCCCACTTGCGTCAGGAGCTTGGTCAAGGCCTGCCCCACTCTGGACCTCAATTTTCTCATCTTAAAATGGGCATGATGCCAGCTCCTGTGTCCAGGGGTGAAAGTTCTGAAGATGAACTTGGTGGCCACGTGGCAGGTGCTTAGCAAGGTGCCCATCCTTTCCAGAAGATTCCGTCAAGGGCGGTTCTTCATTGTGGCCTCCAGAGAGTTTGCTGGCTTCACACCATCTCTTCTCTCCTCGCAGAAGTTCCTGAGCACGGTGGAGGAGACGTTCCAGTGCATCTGCTGCCAGGAGCTGGTGTTCCGCCCAGTCACCACCGTGTGCCAGCACAACGTGTGCAAGGTGAGGGCGGCGCTCTGGTCCCACCCCCGCCACTGCCGCCCACTTGCTCTGCTCCTGTACACCCCGGGCCCTTCTCGGCCCCCGTGGCTGTTTCCTGCGCTGCCTCAGTCCCAGCAGCCCCAGATCCCGCCATACTCCTGCTCAGAACCCTCCTGCGCCTCCCCGGCATCCCAGCATAAGACAGACTCCTCGCCCCGGCTTGCAGAGCTGCCCCACTGTCCCCTGTGCATGTCCCCAACTTCTCCCATGCCACCTTACTCTGTGCCCTCCAGCCACACTGGCCTCTCAGCTGTCCTTTTCACAGGCTGTGGCGTTCCTTGGGCAGTGGCCACTGGTTCTTCCCTCTCTCTGGAACATTACACACTCTCACACACACACATGCCTGTGTTTTGTGGGGTTGGTGGTACCAGGCGGGAACTGGCCCACAGTCTGCAGGGAAGCTGGAGAATTAGAATTAATGATCATTAAGTGTAACGTAAGAATTCCTGGGTGGCACAAACAGTTAAGTGCCCGACTAGTAACCAAAAGGTTGGTGGTTCAAACCCACCCAGAGGCACTTCAGAAGAAAGGCCTGGCAATCTGCTTCCAAAAGGTCATAGCCTTGAGAGCCCTATGGAGTACAGTTCTGCTCTGCACACATGGTCTGCAGGGAAGACGGACAATTAATGATTTTCCAGTGCGATGTCGGTCGGGGTAGGGAGGTGAAGGGGGGCCCTGGCTTCACCCTATGAGCCATGATCTTGACCAAGCCCCGAGACTGCTCTGAGCCTGTGCTGCCCTCAGTGAGAAGGGGCCTAACGGTGCCTTCCTGGCAGGGCTGTCGAAAAAACGAGCTGCGTGTAGAGGTCCTAGGCCAGCTTTTGGCTCGATGTAGGTACCCGGCAGGTGAGCGTGCAGGGGCAGGGATGCCACTCAGGTCAGAGTTTGAGAACGGTCTGGCACTATAAACACAAAGGATGGTGGGATTTCAAGGAAGCCATGTTCAGGGGCGCTGATGGTGTGCGAGGCGAGGCAGTGGGCACTGCTGTGTTGGTCCCTGCTACTGTGTTATGTTTACAAGAAGACCAGCATGTGAGGCATTAAGGGAAAACCCTCTGACCCTCCACTCATGGCCCAGAACTTGATTTTTTAGAAAACTAATATATTTTTGTTGTCGTTGAGAATGTACACAGCAGAACATACACCAACTCAACCATTTTTCTACGTACAATACAGTGACCCTGATTACATTCTTCGAGTTGTGCAACCATTCTCACCCTCCTTTTCTGAATTAAAACTTGATTTTTTTTAAAGCTATGTTTTTCTATTGTGGTACAATACACACATCAGACAATTTGCCAACTTAACCATTTTTACGTGTACAATTCAGTGGCATTAATTACATTCACCGTGTTGTATGACCATCACCACTATCTAGTCACCAAACTTTTTCATCACGCCAAACAGAAACTCTGTACCCGTCAAGCAGTGATTGCCTATTCTCCCCTTCCCCAGCCTGACAACCACTAATCTACTGTCTATGCATTTGTCTATTCTAGATATTTCACACAAGTGGGATCATGCAATATTTGTTTTTTTACACCTGGCTTTCTGTGAACTTAGTGTTTTCAAGGTTCATCCGTGTCCTAGCCTGTATGAGAACTTCATTTCTCTTTACGGTTGAATAATATTCCATGGTATGGATGGAACACCTTTTGTTTCACCACTATTCATGAATGGCCATTTAGGATGTTTCCCCTCCAGCTTTCAGCTATTGTGAATCATGCCGCAGTAAACACTGGCGTACAAGTATCTGAGTCCCTGCTTTTAGTTCCAGAACTTAAGTTTTGAGCATGAATCAGAATCTTAGTTGTGCTGATCAGAAAGAACTACGTTTTGTGTCTGGAATCAAGATGATAGGTTTTACAGCAAAAAACAATTCAGGAGTTTTTAAAAATAAAAATCCAAAGCAACAGCTTAAGTCCAGCGCCTAAGCGAGCTCTGGTATCAGCAGTACTCTTCACTGTGTTGAGGGTTTCCCCATACCACCACCCCGTTACCTGATGGTGTCCTTCAGGTGTGCACACCTGGGCCAAATGTGTACCTACCTGTGTGCCTTGTCTCATTCCTTGTCCGGTCAGGTGGGTGGTGTTGCCCCTGTTTCTCTGACTAGGAAGTTGAGGCTCTGAGGGATAGTGGCCGCACCGTCTTTGGGGCTGTCAGCCCAGGCCTCACAGTTCCATCTCCACCTGGCCCTTCTGTCTCAGGCTTCCCTCTGTTTGGAAACGAGATTGAACGTAGAGGTCTGACTTGGTGTTTGGCTTGGTCCCGGGTTCGACTCCCGGCCAGTGCACCTCATGCGCAGCCACCACCTCTCTGTCCCTGGAGGCGTGCGTGTTGCTAGGATGCTGAACAAGTTTCAGCAGAGCTTCCGGATTAAGGTAGACTAGGAGGAAAGGCGTGGCGATCACCGTCCGGAAATCAGTCAATGAAAACCCTATGGATCACAATGTTCTGATCCGCAGTGGATCATGGGGCGGGGGCGGGACCAGGCGGCCGTGTGTTCTTTTGTGCACGGAATCGCCGCGAGTGGTGGGCGCTCAGTGGCAGCTAATAACAGCAGTACTACGCTTGGTGAAGGGAGGGTGAACAAGACACACTCCGAGGGCGTATCTGGCCTCCTAGACAGAAACACGGTCGCCAACAGCATGATTCCAGAGGGTAGAAGGTGCTAGTTTACAGGTGAACAGGACGGGGTGGGGCCGCGTTAGATACCCCAGGGTGAGCAGGGAACGGCTCTGAGGAGACGGGTGGGCGAGCCCGTAGGTGCCAGAGGCAGAATGAGCCCTGAGTCTCCGAGGGATCCCGCGAAGGCTAGGGGGGCGATGGGCGGGGAGCCTCTGGGCCTTGTAAGAAGCTGGGGCCCACGGGAGCCGGGGGACGTAGGCGGCCCGTCTGCCCGGGCGGCGCTTCTCACTGCCCACTTTCTCTTGCAGGATTGCCTGGACAGGTCCTTCCGGGCGCAGGTGTTCAGCTGCCCGGCCTGCCGCTACGACCTGGGCCGGAACTACGCCATGCAGATCAACCAGCCGCTGCAGGCGGTGCTCAGCCAGCTCTTCCCGGGCTACGGCAACGGCCGGTGATGCCTAAGCACTTCCGCCCTGCGTTCCCGTGTGCACGTGGCCCAGGGGGTTATTTTTCCGCCCTTATTCTGTTTTTAGTGGGCTTAACTTAAACGTGTAGTTTTCTCCACTCCCCTAAAAAGGCTTGTCTTCCTGCCCTTGTTTTTAATCTATAAATTTTCAGGAATCTATGTGTTACGGCTAAAAAAAGAAAGTTGGACTTCTCCGTATTTTGTTTTAAATAGAAAGCCTGCAATTTTTCAGCCAAAAAAACTTTTTTTATAAATTTTTTTTAAAAAAAAGATGGAATTACAAACGACTTCCCGCGAAGGCTGCTTACGTTCGTTCCCAACAGTTCTCAGAAGCTGCTGCCACCCAGTAAGCAAGGTGGCTCGGCCACGCCGCCTAGAACGATCTTTTCACGGTTTGTAGCTTTGGCCCCAAAGCTCAAGCGCATCTTCCCGACAGTGTCGTAGCGGACAAAATCCTGCACAGTGGCTCCCGGTGGAGGGCCTGGGTATGGCGCGGCCCAGCTGCCCCCCAAGAAGAAGTGGCTGTGGGTGTCGCTTCGAGGAAAAGAGGAGAAACGGGATTCAGCCTAGTGTAAAACTCTCGCCTTCTACAGAAGCCATGCCCCACTGGTTTGCTTCCGTGTTAGCAATTCGACACGCAGTGAGCAGAGTCGGGGCACTACAGAAACTACCTCCGCGGGACCCCCCCTTAGCATCGGGGCTGGACATCTGGCCGTCTGCGCCGGAGCCACACAGAAGCCGACAAACGCACAAAGCCATGTCCAAGTGCCTTTGGGTCTTTTTTTTTTTTTTTTTTTAAATATTTGTCAAGACGGGGCTCTTTTTTAGCACTGAAATGTTGAAATTGCCAACTGTGGTCGACCAGTTGTTCTGAGGCTGGGAGGGTGTGGGGACGGTTCGCATTTTATTGTTGTTTTACATGGAATTTTCAGCTTGGCAATGGAGAATTACAAGAGGGATTTTTTGTTCTTTTAATAAACACTTTTCCTAAATGAAATTTTTTTTGTAGTTACTGTACATGTACCAAGAAAGATGTAACTTAGGGTTTTGAGGGGTTGTGTGTGTTTTTTTTTTAATTTTTGGAATAGTTTGTTAATTTTTCTAACTTTACCAAAGTTTGCAGCTTATACCTCAACGTAACAGGGATATTTTAAAATCATATAACTGCAGACAAACTGGAGCACGATATTGTTTTCAGAGGTTTTTGTTTTTTTCCTTATGATTAGGTTGTTAATGTATTAGGGGGGGAAAAAAAAACAACAAAATCCTGTGTAGGCTTTTTCTAAAACGTTCAACGTTCTTTGTCCAGATTTTAGATTCTCAGAATAAATGTCTTTTACAGATGCAATTGCTTGTGTTTGCAGATCTCTTTGTAGCTCACTGTGTACTTTTGTACTGATCATTTCTCTCCTTATGTAAGTCCCTGCTTCCCGTTTATAGATGTCAGCGCTGAGATCCAGAGGGTCAAAGTGGTGTGCGACAGCTCACGGCCAGTGCTTTCTGACTGCCGGCTGAGGACATGGTGAAAAATCCAGTTGCCATGGACTCGATCCCGACTCACGATGACCCCATGTTTGTCAGAGTAGAACTGTGCTCCACAGGGTTTTCAATGGCTGAGTTTTCAGAAGTCGACTAACAGGCCTTTCTTCCGAGGAGCCTCTGGGTAGACTTGAACCTCCAACCTTCTGGTTAGCAGCTGAGCGCATTAACCATTTGCATCACCTAGGAACTCCGGAGATATTGGCCCTTTCCCTTAACAGTTTTGAGCAAAGGTTGGCAAACTACAGCCCAAGAGGTCAAATCTGGCCCACTGCTTGTTTTTTTGTAAAGTTTTATTGGCACGCAGCCATGCCCATTTGTTTACATATTGTTTATGGCAGCTTCATGCTGCAACCAGCAGCGTGGAGTAGTTGTGACAGAAACCATTTAGCCCACAAAGTTGAATGTATTTACTACGTGGCCCTTTACAGGCATAGGTTGCTGACCCCTGCTCTCTCCAGCAGCGCTGTCTAGTAGAACTTTCTTTGATGTTGGAGAAATTCATGTAGCCACATGTAGCTAGCAGCTTCCATACTGGATGGTACAGTTTTAGAAAACGGGATGTATAATGTCTAGAGTGAAAACTGTCAGCTCTTAGGAAAAGCAAAAGCCTCTGACTTTCCAAAATGGGACCCAATGGAACTTTCCAGAACTGTAGTGTTGGCCAATCTGTTTCTAGTGATTCAGAGTCCTTCCCATTTTTTTTTTTTTTAAGTTGAGGTGAGTATATATATATTTTAAAAAGTGTGAAACTGTTATTCAGAAATAATCACAATATTGAGCATATTTATTTCCTGGTTGACTTTTTTTTTAAATAACAGCTTTACTGAGATGTAATTCACATACCGTATAATTCACCCATTTAAAGTGTATAATTCAGTGGCTTTTAGTAAATTCACAAGGTTCTGCAGCCATCATTGCTGTCTAATCCAGAACATTCTCATCACCTTTAGAAACCCTGTAGCCATCAGCAGTTACTCCCCATCCTCTTACACCCCCAGCCTCTGGCAAGCACTGATCTTTCTGTCTGGCTGGATTTGCCTGTTTTGGATGCTTCATATAAATGGAATCATACAGTATGTGACCTTCTGAGTGTGGCTTCTTTCACTCAGCATAATGCTTTCAAGGTTCATCCACGTTGTAGCGTGTATCAGTGCTTCGTTCATTTTTATGACTAATATTCCGTTGTATGGGTGTTGTTTTTGTTGGGTGCCATTGAGTAGATTTCAACTCAGCCACCCCATGTGGTAGAATAGAACTGCCCCATAGGGCTTCCTAGGCTTAATCTTTATAGGAGCAGATCACCAGGTCTTTTCTCCCGCAGAGCCACTGGGTGGGTTCCAACCGCTATCCTTTTGGTTAGTAGTCAAGTGCTTAGCTGTTCTGTCACCAGAGCTCCTACTGTATGGGTGTACCACATTCTAGTCTCTTGGTTGACTTCTTAATGTAAAACTTTTTTCCTTCCCTCCCACTATTCCAGGTTACAAAATTAATGCATGATCCTTTTAGAAAATTTGGAAACTGAATACATGAAGGAAAAAATCAAAACTCATAATCCTGCCACCCAGAGGGTTAACATTTTGATGTACCTTTGTTCAGATCTTATTTGTCTATGAGTCCGTGTTTGTTATGTACCTACAATGTGGCAGCTATTTTGCAGATGAGGAAACTGAGGCACGGAGGAGTTAAGTGGTTTGCCTAAGGATGTGGCAAAGGCAGGGTAGATATATATTTTTATACTTATTTCCATATATGTCTTATATATTTAGATTTGAAGAACAAAATTAAGGTAGTGCTATATATACCATTTTGTGCCGTTTTCTTTTGAATTCAACATTTATTAAGCAGCCACATTGTCTAGTACCACTGCAAACAGATGTGAGCTGTGGTGTTGGTGTATGCATATTTGCATGTATGTGTGTGTCAGTGTGGAGCATAATACCCACGTGTGTCTAGCAAAGTATGCTTGGAGTGAACTGGAATGTTAGAATTTCTCCCCCGATGTATTTTTTAAAGTTTATTTTTTGACACATGGGAGAATCTATCTTTCCAGCCATCTTTATTTTTTATGTAGTAGACCCACCCATAAGTAGGAAGGGAATCTTGGTACCACACCAAGGGGTTCTCGGCTGGTAAGGTGAAGGATGGGGAGGAGTCACGAATTGGGCTCTGGCTCTGCTGACCAGGGCGTCCTTGGGGGTCCAAAGGTAAGTGCCAGAGAGCCTCCTGGCTTGGAGAGATCCCCGAGCACACTGCCCTGCCCATGGAGACCTGAAAAAAAAAAGGACGATTAGGTGAGGTTTTTTTTAACTTTCCCTAAGTTAATCTGTCCATTTAAAAATTCTGAGTTCCCTTCCTACTTCTGTATGTTGCTAGCTGCTGTTGAGTCGGCCCCCAACTCATGGCGACCGTCATACAATGCCTTAAATGACAGGAACTATAGTTTTTTCCTAACCTTTTATTATGAAAATTTTCAAACAAATTGAAAGAAGTGTATAGTGAACACTCATATACCCACTATCTATATTCTACAATTGTTGATATTATTTATTATCTAATGGTTGTTGTGTGCTGCTGTCAAATTGGACCTGACTTGTGGCAACTTGATGTACAACAGAATGAAATGCTGCCGGGTCCTGTGCCATCATTTTATGCCCATTGCCGTTGAGTCGATTCCAACTCATAGTGACCCTACAGGACAGAGCAGAACTGCCCCACAGTGTTTCCAAGGAGCGGCTGGTGGATTTGAACTGCCGACCTTTTGCTTAGCAGCTGAACTCTTAAACACTGCGCCACCAGGCCTCCATGCCGTCGAATTAGGTGGTGTTAAAAAATGTCTCCCTAAACAAAATAAGAAAGTTGACAACATATTTAAGTCCCTCACTTTAAGAAAAAAAAAAAAAAACCCAATTTAAGAGTCCGTGAAATCCAAATGTGGAATTCAGTGTCTTGATGGATAAACTTAGAAGTAAAGAAAAGGCTTGTATAGGGGGGAAATCCATTATTGCACTTCCATGATGTATCATCGTGACCACATTCCATTTCTGTCTTCCCCATTGGATAGGAGGTTCCTTGAAGACACCCACTATTTCCTGTCTTTAAAATTAAATTTTAACTATATGGGGAATATGTGAACATAGTCCCATAAGAATTTAAAACATCACAGAACAGATTCAAGTCCCTTCTGATTACCTTTTTACCAATTTGGATCTCTTTCCCCTCTCCCCAAAGATTAAATTATTCTGTGCATTTACTCACAAGGACTCTGAGAAGCCCCATGCTATTGGTTTGTGTGTGTTTGTTTCCATAAAATGTATCTTGTTGGATACAAAAAATCTGGATACTGCTGCAGCTTGCTCAACGACATGTCTAGGAGGTTACTCCCTGACAGTACAAAGAGATCTACCTAGTTTTCAATTGCTACATAGTTAAGTATTTGAGTAAGGGATG